TATAAGGATAAGCAACATTCGAAATCTGACCTCAACCATGATAATGCACTGCGTGAGTTTACGATTTCATTGCTGAGAAATTTATTTAAAAAAATAACTGAATAAGGTGGCTGGCTTTTTATTACAAAACAGTCTTTTGTGCTTGTACTTTATTGCATTTTTACTTGATATAGGAGGCCCAGTCCATCAGGGACCCACTTGCCATCGGGCAGGCTGACAACCTGGCCGGTCCACCAGTATAAACACCATGTTTCATCACTGGTAATGATCCTGTCAAACATCTCTGCATTATTCAAAAGATCAAATCAAATGTGAAACTGATGTTATTTCTGCTCAGCAGTCAAGATTTCAGGCACCATCTTTGAGGAAAGTTTTCTCAATTCCAAAACTTCCGTTAGAATCTACCGTACTGTTTCTCTACTCATATTTAGTTCTACTATCAGGTACACCCTTTATCTTCGATCTGAGCCAGAAACGTTTGCACTCTACCCACATTTGCAACGGCTCTTTGTTTTTTTTTTTTTTTGGCTGCCCGCTTCCAGCATCACGACGGACATCTCATCTTTCATTAGAGAACTAATGCCTATCAAAAACATTATTTCTCCATGTGGCTATAGTTTATTTTATGCTTGAAGGCAATCTTCAAGCCATGTGTGCTGTGAGTTAGCTCGACTATGTATATATGTTGGTCATTGGTATATTATGGATAGATGTCTCTATTGTATTATCTTTACGTTATTGGGTTGACAGTAACTTATATTTTAAATTATTATAGAGGCTTTTGAGATTTCTACGCATGAAACAAACTATATATATATATATATATATATATATAAGGTGAGTACTAAAGTCAATACTGAGTGGCGACCGTCTGTTTCGTGTTTGAACACAATCTTCATCTCTTTAGATTACATCAAGCATGAAAAAGAATGTCGTCATTCGGTGTTGACTTCAGCGTCTACTGTTATATTTACACTTGCTCTGATATTGAGCACTTTTATTCATGAATATAGCATACATTAAAACTATATTTTTTTTATCATTGTAATGGTCATGTGGTCGAGTGATTAGAACGTTCACTTTTCGACCGTGAACATGAGACTCGGGTTCGAATCTCATCATGGTCATTTGTCATGTAGATAAACTCTTGATATTATCGATCTGCAGAGGTGATCTCGGCATGTAGCATCTCTGGAAAGTGATTGAAAGCCATACCACGAGTTGGTCCAAGCCATGTGAAGGAAACTAGGTAGACGAAACTATTTTGGAGCTGTTGATTGTACTTGCACAAAGTATCGAGTCATCGTGACAGAGGATTTGAGCGTACTAGCCTTGTCCAGGTGATCACGCAAGATAATGAGCTCTCTTCTATAAACTGTAAGTAAGGTCCGCTCAGTTGCAGGTGGGCTCTACAGGTGGGCTCTCTAGGTGTTGAAAAAAACAAAACAAATGTATGTGTCTGCAACAGGGATTGGTTTGCCGCACTAGTAGACAGGCGTATTCAAATACAAGGGGCCAGTCATTATATATATATATATATATATATATATATATATATATATATATATTAGATCATTGCAAGGATTCGTGCCCGATCAGAAAATTAAAAACAAAATTTTACATACTCACAAAAAATATTTATTATTCAACTACAAAATCTCCATTTTTTTTAACAAATGTCTCCCATCGTTCTAGAAGCTGGTTGATGCCATTTTCATAGATATTTCGTGTTTTTTGTTATAGTTTTGTGATGTAGTTGTTGTACATAGTCATTTTTGTGTCATTTAAATTTAAAGAGGGTTCTCTGGTGTTGAAAAAAACACAGATGTACCTGAGAATTTGTTTGGAACAGGGACCTAGTAGACAGGTATATTCAAATACAAGCTGCCAGCCATTTAATATATTAGATCATTTTAAGGGTTCATATCCGATCAGAAAATTAAAAACAAAATTTTACATATTCACAAAAAAATTTTTTATTAGTCAAGTACAAAGTCTCCGTTGTTTTTAACAAATGTCTCCCATCGTTCTAGAAGCTGGTTGAGGTTATATTAGTAGAAACTTCATGTTTTCTGTTGGACGAAAGTTGTAAGGTTGTTTTCGACTGAATGTACAGAATTTTTGTCATTTAAATTGTACTGTAGAAACTGGAAAAAATGAAAATTCGGAGGAGTCAACTCAGGAGAATACGGTGAGTGCTGGAGGGTGGCTTTCTCTTTCAAATTTTTTGCAAGGTCGATTTTGCAACATGTAGTCTTGTCGTCATGGAAAATGAAACGTTTTTGATTTGCCAAAATGGGCCTTTTTTTCTTGCATAGACGCATTGAGATTGGTGAGTTCGTCACAATAATCCTTTGCAGATATTGTTTCACCGGCTGGAGGGAAAATTCAAAATTAATTATCATTCTGCAGTCCCACCAAACAGACAGCGACACCTTCATTGAATGCAATCTCGACTTAGCCAAGGGCCCTGCACATTTACAAGCTTACAGTTCCGTTTGCGTTGAAAGTTATAAACAATCCACATTTCATCGCCTGTGACAATTCTGTACTAAAACGTTTTCTTTTCGTACCGAAACAGGAAAGTAATCGTTACAGAAACACGATCGTGTTCTTTTCGATCAAAGAATATCGCAGCCACATGTCGAGTTTGGAAACGAATCCAAGTCTCTTCAAATGGCAACAGACAGTTGAGATATTTATTTTTAAACTCATAGCAATGTCTTCTGTCGAATTCTTCAGTCTATTCTTCACGATGGCAAGCAGAGCGTCTTCATCGACGTTGAAAGTTCGCCCAGAGCGTGGCTGATCGTGTCGGTTAAAATCACCCCTGGCGAAATCTACAAAACCGTTTTTGATTGTCGGAAGAACTAGAGGACGGTCCAAATAAATTTTCTGAATATTTTTCGTCGCAGTTCCACCACTTACTCCTTCCCGAAACTCCTAGAGTATAATATGGTGAAAGTGCAACGTTTCATCCTCCATCTTTGAGGCATTAATTTGTGGATAAAACGGGTAACATACAACAAAATCAGACTCGCAATTGAACGATGCAATGTTTCAATCTGGGATACACCGGAAGTCGGCACCAAAACAAACGCCAGTGTCAATTTGAGGTCATTTTATATTAACAATGCAAATCGATCAAGAACTTTTGCAATGATATAATATATGGATTAAAAGATATAATATACAGATTAAATATGGATTAAATCCAACAATAATTGAATAAGGATATCGTTTGTAAATTTGACATGTTTCGTTTTAATAGCTTCATCGTGCATTTTGGTAAATGAATTTGAAAAAACTTATAAATCTATTAAAACAAAACATATAAAATTCATAAACGATTTCCTACTTGTTCTTTACTTTATCACACACACACACACACACACACACACATATGCGTATATATATATATATATATATATATATATATAGACATATATATATATATATATATATATATATATATATGTATATGTATGCGTATATATATATATATATATATATATATATATATATATATATACGCATTCAGGTAGTAATCCAAGTAGTAAGCCGTTGGTATAATCCAAGCGAGTCCCTATTAACACAATATAAAATTTTAATTATTAAATGTTAAAACTGATTCAAAAAGAGCGTTCATTATTTATTTTCATTAAGCAGAGCAAAATATTTTATGCAGTTGGAATTAAGATACCGTTAGTAACTGATTATTTTCACCCGCGAATTTAAACTTTAAAATTCATAGGATTTTTCAAACTGTTTATGGTGGCAGTTTGTTGAAGAGAGTGACATCATAAACAGTTTGAAAAAACCTGTGAATTTAAAACTTAAAATTCGCGGGTGAAAATAATCATTCAATAATGGTATCTTAATTAGTTCCAACTGTATTATATATATATATATATATATATATATATATAATTATTTATTCGAAAATTATAGCATAAATATGTTATAAAATCACTACAAAAATAGCCATTTTGTTTCAACACTTCTGGTGTCTTAGCAGATGATGGTGTTGAATGTATACAAAGGGTTTTGTTTTTTGAATTCTCATATACTTATATTTTGATTGGTCATTCCAGTTTATGTAACAGCGTTTCCTCTAGCGAGGCGTGTTTGATTGATTTGAACCTTTTAAAAACCTTTATTATACATTCAACACCGTCACTTGATAAGACACTAGAAGTGTTGAAACAAAATGGCTATTTTTGTAGTGATTTTATAACATATTTATGTCATAATTTTCGAATAAATAATTATATTTGCTCTACTCTGTATTGAGCACTCTTTTAAGAATAGTACTTGTTGGTTGTTAGAATTCATGCCGTATACACCAATCCTATACTTGGGTATATATATATATATATATATATATATATATATGAGACAATTTAGTAAACTTCTATTTTGACATGTTTCGCCGATAAACCGGCTTCATTAGAAAGATATCTTTAGAAAAAGAAAAAAAATGTCCTCATTAATGAAACAAAATATGACTCCCGTTAAACGGCCCAACGCTTGATTTTCACTTAATCTTTATAGAAATTAGATATTAGTCAGTTAACGTGAATGCCATTTAACACACACACACACACACACACACACACACACACACACACACACACTCTCTCTCTCTCTCTCTCTCTCTCATATATATGTATATAAAGAGAGAGAAAAATTGAGACAGGAATATAAACAGAAAGACGAAGAGAGAGAGAGGGAGAGAGAGAGAGAAAGGGACAGAGAGAGGTGGGGTGAGAGAGAGAGAGAGAGTGAGAGAGAGAGAGAGAGAGAGAGAGAGAGTCTATTAATATATGCATACCCATTTAGAGAGTGACCAAGCATATTGTTGCTCAACAATAGAGATAGGAAAGGAATCTAGTCTTTAGTGTATAGTTCTATTTCGATCTCTTGTCTATCACCTTCTTCTTTCATTTTGCGAGGTCTGTCTCTTTCCAAACACCCCGGCCCAATCATCCAACAAACCAATGCAACTTCATCCCAACACCGACCTCACTACTTATACCACACCTTCCTTCCAATCTCCTTTTCCTTCCCCGCTCTCCACCATCACTCAAAGCCGGCTGGCGTCACCCCCAAGCCCACCTAGAACACCAGCGTCCCTCCCCGACACACATCCGAAATATTTTATCGATTCGAAGCATTTCCCGCGCAAAGACTGGAAGAATGGCAAAGGGAACGCCGTCGATACGAAGTCAGCATTTGCGAGCTGGGCTGTCTCCATCATTAATCAGAATCGGAAGGCCTATAGGCAGATAAAATTTGGGCTGCAGGCCACGTACAACGAGGCGAGCAGGTGCCACCCCCACGAGACGCTGACCACCAATGTAAGTTTAATCATTTTGAGGGCAGATGGGAGAAGTGGGTGGCGGATGAGGAGAAGATGGTTGTCGGGCGGCAAACGTGGAGTAGGGAGGATTGTAATTTGATTAGCATTGATCTGAACGTCGGTTGAAAGATTTCCCCAGCGGCTTGACAAGTACTTGTTATTGCTTTCCTCCTAGAAAAGGTCGCCTGTCGTAGCGGGTCGCTTTTTAATCATCTGTGTTTTAAGCTAATACACACTTGTGGGTGTGCGCCTGTCCGTTACTTACTGTGTATGCCCGTCTGTATTAATGTATGAATGTAGGACATACTTATGTATATAAGTAAAATTCTGTAAGTATGTGAGGATATCCTTGTAATTATGTATGCATATTTTTAATGTAAGTTTGTATACATTTTTATGTAAAAATACTTGTATCTATATATACATATGCATTTAATGTGCTTACACACATATGCATGTGTACACTCACTATATATATATATATATATATATATATATATATATATATAGTTACTTACGTTGCACTTATCGCACTGTATTAAGTGTATTTTACATAAAATATAGTAATTAATGTGTAGGTCAGAAATTATATATATATATATATATATATATATATATATATATATATATATATATATATATACCTGAGGGAAGTTGGAAAGTTCTTAGTCTGACCATGAAAGGCAATTAAAAAAATATGATGCTTGATCAGATTTATTTTACATAAAATCTAGTAATTAATGTGTAGACCAGAAATTATACACACAGACATGCACGCACACACACAAGCAAACACACACATATATAGATATGTACATCTTTCCTTCAATAGGTAATTCATATCCTGCTTTCTCCGGCTGGTCTCCGTAGTTAAACTGGTAGCGGCACACTTTGCTGCATATATATATATATATATATTTATTATTGACATTTTCGTTATTTATCTGATGAAGCCATACAGGCGAAATGCATTATCGGATATTATTTTCGAAACATATTTTCATGAGGGTTTTTCCAAATGTCATAACTTATAACTCTGTCGAGATTAAATACCCAAATTTACACACACACACACACACACACACACACACACACACACACACACACACACACACACACACACACACACACACAAATATATATATATATAAATATAAAGAGACAAAACTTTTTTTACCGCCGCGTTTCCTCCTCTGATTGGCTTTATCAAGGCAAACGTAAGGATCTCATTTTTCAACAAGGATTCATAAACTGAAGTTAGTTTTAAAATTTTTTAGTTAAAAATGTTCTTGGTCCGTTGTAACCTAGAAAAGGTCTACTGAATGAGGAATAACCAAAACGGAGTTCGGAAATGAAATGGTAATCTTTATAACATCAACAAAATACAATACTCGCCAGCGGCGTGAAGTAGGTAAACCACTGCTAGTGATGGACTACTTACAGAGCATATTACCTCAACTTACAATAGTGTCCAACGTATTTATGAGATTTGGGACATACACATAAGTGTTCATAGGTACGGTATATAACATGATCTGACCACGAAAACAATTAAAAAAATGTGATGTTTGGTCAAATTTTTTCGATCCGAGAATTTCTAGAAACTCGTTTTTTAATTTTCTTCTTCACCCCCCCCCCAAAAAAAAAAAAAGCGTAAGTGTCAGATTTACTGAATGGAAAGGTTTGCATATTATGAGGATATGTAGGATAGATAACAGTTGACCCTAAACTTGAAGAGTTTAAGATTATAGTGATTGACAAGCATCTTGTTGGGAATTTCTTCCACAACGTTAACAACTCTCGGTAAGAAGCTGTCTCTTCTAAGCAATGGCATACGCTCAGAATTTAGGATGAGTCGATCCTGTGTACGTATATCATGGTTTGAGAGTCTGAACTGGTGTAACTAACGAATATAACTTGTCTGAACATTTGTTGTAGAAATAGTTATAGTGGAGCCAGAGACTAGCAATGTTTCCGCTTTCGGGAATGTATGTATGTATGTAATAGATGTGTGTGCAGTTATGTGTGTATGTGATATTGTGTATTTAACGATTTTGCTGTAGTTATGTAACTTCATACACACATACATACACAAACATATTATTGTGAGGAAGACCAATAGATAAATGCGTAAACCTTTTTGTGTTTTTTAATTGTTTTATTTATGTTTGCGTAAATGGAAATATGTGTATGACAAATATAACAATCTAAATTTATGGTTATGCTTTTGAATTAAATGTTATTTTTGTGTTGTAGCCTGGTTGCCAACCACGGTTACGTCACTAAAGCACAAGCGGAGTGAAAGAAAATGAGAAGACTTTAGAAACCAAATCATAAACAGGGAACAAGGGATAAACCTCGACCCCTGTTCAAAAGACAGGGAAAGACGATAGGCGAACCTATCTACTCCTATTGAAAAAAAACGACTAAAATTAAAAAAAAAATATATGTAACAGATTAAATACAAATAATCCCCTAAAAAACAAATCAGCAAAAAAAAAAAAAAAAAAAAATAGGCAAGAAAAAGCAAAGAAAAAACAATGAAAAATGTGATTGTAAAATGAAACCAGTATAAAATCCTATTGAATCCGTATAAGTGAATGTAACTAACTCGACTAGAATTTGAACTCGGTTCTCCGATTTCTCATACCGAACACCACATGCACATACATGCATATATAAATAAGCATATATGCATATGTGGTCAATACATTTAATGCGTGTATATATTTATAGCCATCTGCATGGAATTATGATTTATAACGTATAATTGCATATTTACTTTCAGTATACATATGATTATATCCACAGTAGACACGATCAGACATATTTATATTCGTATATTCGTAAGTATGATTTAGTTTCGTGCTAATGAATAGATATTCACTAAGCTTAACTTAGTTTGGGCCAAGATTCAACAGATATAAAAAAAAACTGAGAAAAAGATAATATGACGCCAATAGACTGCTTTGCTCAAATGTCTCAAAGATTTTCAAATCTTCTGTGTGCAATGTCACTTCAGGACGTAGGCCATCATGATTCTGCACAACTTCTTGTATATTGTAGCTCTTACTAATTTTTTGCTATTTCTTCTGATCTTGCTTCTATCTTCCATTCACAAAAGGTCGTTAGGTAGGTTATTCACTGATTTCTTCAATCCCTCTCGCATTTAATGCCACGCGAGTATCAAATTTTCCATGCTCCCTTTCCTCATTATGCGTTCTCGAAATTTCAACTGTCTGATTCTATATGTAAGTGTGCTTTTTGCTTCTTTTATTCTTAAAACTTCCTCGTTTCTCACATGTTCAATCTATTGTATTCTAAGCATCCTTCTGTAGAACCACATTTCTGCTGCCTTAAGACAATTCTACATCTGTGAGGAGATTATTCAGCATTCATTGCCATATAGGAGAACCAATATTATATAACAGGTCGCTACTTTTTACTTCCTTTCTAACGAAATTTTCCTATTTCTTAATACGTTGCTTAGATTTTGGAAGACATCATTCGCTATCATAATGTGCCTTCGGCTACAGTTATTAATTCCTAAAGCCAATGTGAAATGCTTACTTATTTTAAACACCAAACATCTTTAACTATGAAATCTACCTGAATTTGTATTGAAGAGAAAATTGTGTTACACAAAACTTCCAAGGGGCTTGAAAAATTAGTATTAGGAATTCTGGATTTTATCGAAGCCCAATCACCGATCTCTGGTTATATATATATTTTTTTACAATGTTATTCCATCTTCACAAGACCCAAGAGCTACTCAAAGTAGAGGGTTACAGAGGCACAGTAAATGGGGATAAATGGGGAAGAAAATGGTTAACCCTAGACTTGAACAGGTTGATTGTAGTCATTAGGGAAGCATCTATTTGGGAGTAGTTTCACACAAAGCAGCGATTCGTGGGAATGGTTTGCAGAATGGAAAATTTTTATTTCGCTTTATAAGCAGGTTCCAGCATAAATTCTTCAACGTACTTATGTTTTCTACAATGTCAGTCAATTATGTGCCATGCTTGATACACGCTTAGGCAATCATCTGTCTTTCGATACATGACTGACGAGGCAGATTTTTTCATCAAAGGCTATAGAACCTATCTATCTATTTACTCATAGGTGGAGGGATAAAAAGAGGGTTCATACTTTTCCCAAGTGTATTAGCACGTAAGTGAATGTAATGGTTTAGACTGGAATTCGAACACGGCTCTCCGATTCCTCAATCCGAGCCGCTATACATTACTCCACCGCGCCTCCTTCTACAATGTACATGATTTTAATTCTAGCTTTTTTTAAAAAGAAGAAATTGATTTAACATTCTAATATTCATTCAGTTGTATTTATAATCAATGATTTAAGTATGTTACATTGTATTATTTAGTAGTTTTTCTTTTTCGTATTGGAACATAGTGTGCGTGCATGTGTATGCGTGTGTCTCTGTGTGTGTATGCCTGTGTCTGTCTGTGTGTGTGTGCCTGTGTAAAGAAGTAAAGTGAAAATCTATTAATATTCAATATGTCTTTTACAAGATGAATGAAAACATTAAATGCATGTCAGTTTCTGTTATCACTCATCTATCAAATTCCATTTAGATCTAGTTTTAATAATTTTAAGGATTAATAACATGACGTTCATATCTATCTATCTATCTATCTATCTATCTATCTATCTATCTATCTATCTATCTATCTATCTATCTATCTCATTCTATCTATCTATCTATCTATCTATCTATCTATCTATCTATCTATCTATCTATGCCATTCTGTTTGTTATCTATCTATCTATCTATCTATCTATCTATCTATCTATCTATCTATCTATCTATCTATGCCATTCTGTTTGTTATCATTCATCTATCATCTATCTATCTATCTATCTATCTATCTATCTATCTATCTATCTCATTCTGTTCATATCTCTCTATCTCATTCTGCTCATATCTATCTATCTATCTATCTATCTATCTATCTCATTTTGTTCATATCTATCTATCTATCTATCTATCTATTTCATTCTGTTCATATCTATCTATCTATCTATCTATCTATCTATCTATCTATCTATCTATCTATCTTGTGCATGTAAACGTTTTCT